TGACATTAGCCAAGTGTTTAGCAAAACATCCACACATTTGTTTAGCACCAGCTAAATGAGTGGGCTGGACTTCATTCCCTCTGAGGTTTCTCTCCTCATTAGAATGTAAGCTCATTATGAATAGGGATTGTTTGATTCTTTGTATCCCCAAAGCCCAACAGTGCTTGATACATACAGTAGGTACTTAATATTTGCTTATTGATTAATTGATACCAGCTCTGAGCCTATGATGAATGTATGAAAAAAAAAACACTTATCATGTGCCAGAAACTGTGCTAAGTGCCAGGGTTACAAACAGGAAAAGCAAGACAAACCCCAACCTCAAAGAGTCTGCAAACGTGTAAAGCCCTTTGCTGGCTATAAAACTAACTACCTTTATTCTAGAAGAGCAGACAAAACCTGTAGGGGAGAGAGTGGTCTAGTCTAGAAAGGCAAGGGTATGGTGAGCAGAGCCATTAGACAATAAGCATCCCTGGAAAGGACGTGTCAATTAATTGTTCCGTGGCTGTGCTCACCGTCCCTAGAAGAAGGGGTGGAAGTAGGGGAAGGGCCTGGGTCAGGCTAAATATGGACAGTCAGGAGCCTATGGCCATAGCCAGGATCTTATAAGCTGTTTCTTACAGTCGGTATGAGCTTGAAGAAGTCACTCTGCCTTCGCTTTCATCATCTGTAAGATGAGAAAGGTCAGAACTTCCAGCTATATTTTTGTATTTTTTATATTTATATTTATTTTAAATTACATGTATTTTTAATACATTTTTCAGTATATGAAACAAAAAGAAAACAAAAATTTTCAAGCCCCTGTTGTGTGCCAGGCACTAGTGCTTTACAAAATATTATCTCATTTGCTCCTCACAAGAACCCTGGGAGGTAAGTGCTGCTATTATCTCCATTTTACAGAGCAGAAAACTGAGGCAGACAGAGGTTAAGGTACTTGCCTATGACCACAGGCTCTAAGGCTAGATTGGAACTGTCTTTCTGACTTCAGACCCAGCACCCTTACGAATAAGTCACCTAGCTGATGCTTTCGCTGAGTGTCAGAGGAAAGGTGTGATTCCAGGTCTTCCCTACTCCACATTCAAGGGTGGAGTCAAAATGATCTCCTAAAATGCCCATCAGAGACTATGACCAGGGAATCCGAGGAGCAAGCTGCCCCTACAGGGAGGTGGGAGAGTAAGAATGGCGAAACGAGGCTACGAAGTGCGCAGGCGCAATCCGCGCCGCAGTCCCTCAGGAGAAGATGACAACGTGGCGTTACCAGCTTCACCTCCACTCACCGCAGCGGGTTTGCGGCCGTCAGAGATGGCACTTGGCAGCTCTCCCGCCCCGGCACTGGGGCGAGGGGTCGACGCTACAGAGCCTAAGCTCCTAGCAGAGGGACCAGTGAGGCTGGGGAACCCTGGGTGTCAGACCCTGGGCCTTCAATGAGGTGTGGGGGAGGGGAAGCAGCCAAGCGACTCCCAGGAACTCAGTCCCTCAGCGTCTGAAGGGGCCTCGGTGGCAGCGCACCCCCGGAGAGGATTCTGCTGCCTATCGGGCCCCACAGTCAGGCATCCAGCCTTCCCTGGAAGACCTCTAGGGATGAAGAGCTCACACTCAGTCATCCAGCCCTCCCTGGAAGACCTCTAGGGATGAAGAGCTCACACTCAGTCATCCAGCCTATCTTGGAAGACCTCTAGGGATGAAGAGCTATTTCCCACAGTGACCCATTCCACATTATAGGATCAGTAGACTAAGCTGGAAGGAGCCATAGAAGTTTTTGAAGAAAACTGAGTGTCTGGTGGGATTTGAACCCAGGCCTTGCCAAATCCAAGTGAGGTACACTATCCACGACATCACAGAGTGCTACTTTTTTTTTTTTTCAGATTTTAGGCCTAAAGTTGCCTCTTTTCAACTTCTACCCATTGCTTCTGATTCTGCCCTTTGGAAGGCCAAGCAGGATGTGGCCTGGCTAGTACTTAGAAACAGCTTTCATGTCCCTTGCCACTTTGTTTAGGACAACTCTTACACTGAAAAGTTTGGAAGAAGGAATACTGACTGAACTGATTTCACTGGTATAATATATAAAGAGACTTCCTTTATCAGTACAGGTTGGCACCTTCTCTGCAATTTATAGTCTTGTAGTTGCTCAAAGCACTAAGAGGTTAAGTGATTTATCTAGGGTCACACAATCAGTATGTGAAGAAGAGCAGAAGATCTGAAAAAGCTGTCTTACTTTGCTCTACAGGTCTGGGAAGCAGAGGGGAAAAGAGAGTCAGTAGCTAGGTTTCCACTGGAGTGCTTGAGGAAAACATCAGGCCTTGACCTCAGTCAGGAGAATAGTAGCTGACATTATTTCATTTGATTCTCAACTCGGCAAGGTACATACTCATTCCCAGTTTATGTATGAAATGATATAACCTATGAGCTTCAGCGACTTTTTCAGGGTCACTCAGCAAAAAATTGTTGGAGGCACATTTTGAACCCAGATCTTCCATGCTCTATGCCCGACTTTATGCTTCCTTCCAGCATCTTAGGATGATCTCAGTCTTTACCTTCTAGGATGACACAATGAAACTTTAACCAGATTAGTTCAACTATGAGGCTCTCGGGGCCTCAGGACACGGTAATGAAATCAGTAACCAGCCCACGCTACACATTAGGGACTAGGTTGCTTCAATAAGTCAGATGTCAAGGGAAAATTCAAGAACATCAGTAACTCCAGGCATTTCCCCAGGACCAGGACAAGATGTGTAGTTATGCTCTCAATGAACCCTCCCCTCTGCCGTGAATCATAACTACCGATGCACCTCTTTCGGTTGTCCTCCCTTTTCTGTGAAAAGGAAAAACTTGTTTTATTGTTTTTAGATTCTATGAGACTGGACATTTCCTTGGGATATGGAATAAAGACCTTCATGCCTGGTTTGAACTGTAAGAGGATATCCTTTTAAGCCAGCTGCATTTAAAAAAAAAAACTTTCACATCTATAGGATTGAGCAAATGTAATACTAGGTTGCTTTACTATATATTCCCAAAGCCATAGAAGTAAAGACTCTTCAATGTGGAGGACATTTTTTTAGTGGTGGCATTCACTATCAATGTGTGATATGGGAGCCCAGATGAAAGGAAAAGGAGGAAAAGTAAGGTAAGTTTTCACAATTGTCAGTGTGGTATCGTGGATTTCCCTAGCCATGGAGGAAATGAGACCCAGCATATCTTCTTCTTTTTCTAATTACCTGCAGATATCAATTAATTTGAATTTCTGTATGTATTCTAATATATTCACACACTTTTACAATCAAGTTTTGATTATTCATATTTATGGAAAGGAACAGGGGCTTGGATAATTCAAAACAGGAGGTAATATATATTTAATATATTTGGAATGGATAGATATATTTATCCCTATGCATTTTTGTTTCATGAGTTGTTATGCTGAGGGGGACCTCAGCACACTTGGGTGGACCACTGAATTTATATGAGATCATAGAAAAAGCTACCCAGGATGGGTAGGCATGAATGAATATTATTTCTGAATCATTGAGATCACAGATCCCTTTATATATTATTCATTTGTTGCAGCAGCAGATTCATCTTCATAATTAGGCTTAACTTAGATTATTATTGATGTGTTTGCATTCTGAATGTCCACAGGCATTACTATATTGCTATTGATAATTAACAAAATGGATACTATGCACGCAGATGAATGAAAGTTGGCTATTTATAGCCAGACAGGTGAAATCTTATCACAAAAATATTGTTCTGTGTAACATAACTATTTCCCTGTCCCACAATCTGGGTCATAGTAACATCTCATTTTTCAACTAATCTGGTCATAATGATTTCTTGTTAGTCTATAATCCAACACAACAAAATCTTTTCCTGATCCCTTTCCTGCAGCCTCCATGCCTTTATAACTTAAGTATATGATTGTATGTATTTTGGGTGACAGGAGAGGAAAGCTGGACTGAGCTTTAATAGGAGAAAAGGGCTGCTTCTCCCTTTCACTTTTAACCATCACATCAGGAGTGGGAGAATTGAGGTCTCCAGTGAACATGGGATTTTTGATTATGTTATCATTCAGAAGAGAGTTAAGTTTGATTTTGGTGATGGTGAAAGGAAGAAGTAAGTTTAGAATAAAGAAGTTTTCTAGCAATACAGAAAGGGCCTGGAAGAATACATATACAAGGGGGTGGTTAAAGAGGGAATTCAGAGTAGGATAAAGGAGTATAGATGAGAATAGGCTTGTGCCTACGTGGTAGGGTGTGATTAATGAGAATAGTAGACATTGGGGTATGGGTGAGGCTGAATGGAGGTATAGGTTATGCATAGAAGAGAGTGCTAGGGAACCTGGATGCTGGGATCTTATTATCTAATGGAGGGAGGAGCAGGTAAGCTTTCACACACAAGCAAATGCCCATGCACCAATACATCAAGGCATACATGCATGCAGAACATCCAGGCCTGAGTCAGGTGCTTCACCTGAGAATCTGTCACTCAGCAAACCTCAGTCCTTGCTGGTTGTGTGAATTGGTTGGCTTTTTTGAGCAGGCCATTCTGCTAGAGGAAAAAAGCCCTAAATTTCCAGACTATCACCCTGCATAACAGAGCCCCACCACATAGCAAAGTAGAGCTTGGAGGATGAAAAATGAATGGGGTGTGTGTGTGTGTGTGTATGTGTGTCTTCCCATTTACCCCATAGGGTTCAGAGGACTTAGCATCATAGATTAAGATCAGGAGAGACCACAGAGACTATAAGTCCAACTCCCTTATTTTTTCTGATGAGGAAACTGAGACCCAGGGAACCAAAGGGACTTGTCCAAGGTCACATAGGCAATAAGTCTGGACGTGCGATTTGAACTCAGTCCTCCAGCCCTACAGCTAGTGCTATTTCTGTTTCAGGAATGTGATCTCTAACAATATGGCCATTCTGGGAAGTTTAAAAAAAGAGGATCTGATCTGCATTTTTCTGTAGAATGTGCTTGACTAATTAATTGTTCCTGTAATATTAGAAGGTCATTGAGAGCAAGCACTGTTATCTTCTGTTAACATCATCAACTCTAATAGTTCCATACATATTTAATTGCGAAAAATAAGGAAAGAGTAGCTTGTACTTTGGAGAAGGAGAGAGGGGCTTCTATCTTCCAAAGAAACAGGCCAGATGTTGTGGGTGTCCCATAGAGCTTTCTGCAGCGCATCCTCCTGGTATGTTATAGCTACTCAAGTGTGCCAGTAAGGGAAGGAAGCCACCATCATTTTTTCTTGCTTTCCTCATTTGCTGTCTTTCGAACTCAAAGATGTTACGATTCCTTGGTCTAGGTTCCTCTTCTCCAGGGAAGATAGCAGTTGTCAAAAGGATGGGCAAGATGGCTCACTGGAGGCAGGGAGGAGGAACTGGGATTGCATGTTCGTGCCTGGACAGAGCAGACACTGGGTGTCTTACATAAGACAAGGTGTAAACACTGTTCATAGAGTGAGTCTTGGTAGGCTCTTGCCATTTCTTTGTGAGATCCTCAAAGAGACCATAGTTGGTGGGGGGAGCTGCAACAGAAATCAGGGTCAGGATGTGAAATCATGAATGGAGAATTGGGCCCAACCCCTGGAGGAAGGGAAGAGATAGGAAGGTGTATGCTTGCTTGCTTGTAGTTTTCTCAGATTGGACTGAGACAAACTTGCTGCTATTTAAAAGGAAGGAATTAGGTCTGGGAGGTACTGGAAGGGAAGGAGGGGAAGATAGGGCCAGGCTGGACTCCCCTAGAGTCCCCTCAGAGACTTGAGGACACATGAGCCCAAGGACCTAGGGCCTAGGAGTAGGCAGCCTGACTTCCTGGTGGGAGGAAACATCAATAGCCTGATCTCTTGAATTCAATTCAGCAAACGTTTCAGTGCCTACTGTGTGCAAGGCATTGGGTACTCCTAGCCACTTTCCAGAGATGCATCCATCCTGTTCTTGGCTAAGTTGTAACTATTAGGGAGGAGGAGCTAGTGTGATAAAGGAAGGTCCTTGCATTTCTGTGTAAATTGTCCTAAATCCTAACACACATTAACTGAATGGGAAATGATACTCAGATTGTTCACTGAATTGATTTTCACTGTGGAGAAGCTGGAGAAAGCTGCCCTTGGTTGATCGCTTCATATAGGGGTCAAGTCATTTCCTTAGGCCCAGATACACTTCTAGGAGAAGGCGCTGTGTGATGGATTCACGGGGTGGAGGTGGGTGGAATGTGGCAAATAGAGCCCAGCGTTGGTATAGGAGCATAGATGAGTCCCTGTGGCACCACAAATACTGTGCTTCTAGAGATAGCCAGTCAGCACTGTTCATTGTATAATGCTTGTGAAATGGGGCAAAGGGGCAAAGGGCATCCTGAGAGGAGAGCACAATATACCAGTGCCTCATAATACTGTCCCAGAATCCTTGAATGTTATTTTATTATAAGTGAAGCTATATTATGACTTAGTCAATTTCAGTAACTCCACTGGAGTCCAAGGCTGACCTACCTACACCAAACTGCATGTCACGGTAGGGAGCATTATATCAAGGTTTTAGGGTATTTTGGAACCTGTGGTGATCTGTATAGGGGGAAAAATGGATTGAGAAAGTACCAAGAAGGGGAAAGTCCGACTTCTCTGGCAGCCACACCAATTTCTGCCCATTCCAACTACGGGTTGGTGGCAAGGCAGGGTTGTAGCCATGCCGGTTAAAATGGTCATCATATGTGCTGATCAAATTCCGATGTTTTGGTTCCTCGTGGTGGGTCATCACGTTCTTATATGGCAGGCCCTGGAACGACAGGCATATAAGGCATATCCAGGGATAAGGAATATCGAGACTTTTGGGGGGGGCTAACTGGGGGGCAAGTGATTCTGGAAGGGGAAGGGGAGAAAGTGTGGAGTTAGCAGCAAAATATAGGGATGTTGCCTTTAAGGATCAAACAACTGATGCAGCTTCTCCAACTAATTAGACCCCAAAGCAAGGAAAACTACACATTAATCTAATTGGTTAATTGGTTTCATTATCCAAAGTTTAACCTAGTCACTTGCTAATACCATCAAATAATCATTTTGTTCTTTGGGAAAAAGTTCAATTTTCTTCTTATCTGTAGATTAGACAGTATACTTCTAACACTACTGTCATTTTAGAGGATCAGATTTCATCATTTTGTTTATTTAGTAGCATAAATATACTCTCTCTTGATACATATGCTTTTATAGTTACTCCGACTTAAACATTAAATCTGATCCTAGAAATGTTTATTAAGCTTTATTTACTGTTACAAGTGTTTGCCAATTTTTAAACTCCAAGGACTAGAAGCATTTTTGGAAGTTGAGTCACAGTAAAAAAAAAATCTATGTATATGTGTATATATATGTACGTGTGTATGTGTGTACGTATATATATTTATATACATACATATATATATATTTATATACATACATATATGTATATCTATATCTATATATACATATATGTATTTATACACACACAAATTATGGAGAATTTGAAAATAGTTATAGTTATAAAGTATTTTTTATATGAATAGTTGTAAATTATGGAGAATTTGAAAATAGTTCACCTTCTTACAACAAGGAGGAGGTGAAGCCAAGAACAGATGATGCCTAAGTAACCTTCAGACTGTGCTCAGTAACCTCTTTGCTCCGTTTTACCTCCAAGAATCTGCGAGTCTGTCAAAAAGCTATATCTCTTCTATGGACTCACCTTCAAATATATGGTCTAGAGGAAAATAGGTGGCACAGTGGAAAGAGCACCAGCATTGGAGTCAGGAGGACCTGAGTTCAAATCCAGCCTCACACAGTTGACACTCACTAGCTGTGTGACCCTGGGCAAGTCACTTAACCCCATTGCCTAACTATATACACATATACATACACGCATATACATATGCACACACACATATATGTGTGTGTATGTATGTGTATATATGTGTGTGTATGTGTGTGTATACACACATACACACGCATATACATATGGTCTCAAATTACACTCCAGAACTTGTTTTTCATATGAATGGACTCCATCTCATGAATACCAAGTTAATTTTCAGTTTGGATGTAATTTATGCATGATTAAAATAACAAGCAGGACTGCCAGGTTAAATGGACAGAGGATTAACTTCATTCATGTCTTTGTAAGCTGAAATTCCATCCCTTTTGCTCTATTATGATTTATACAAGTCTATCACAGACTCATACTTCCTTCAGAAGGGTGAAATAGTGAATACCAAGGCTGATGTTTATACCATGTTTTTCAACTCATTAATATGGTAGGAGGTGGACAGATCTCCATAAATTATCTTCTGCCACAAAGGTTTTACAGGCTTCCTCAGCTGGAAACAGGGAGAATGTTTTCTTTGGTAGCAGTTATTTACTGGGAAAAGAAAGCCATATTCTCTTCCTTCCCTGCTTAAGTTAGTGTGTTTCCTAAGAAATCTCTCTTCTCTCTGGGAAAGTGTCACAGAGAAATGGACTGATTTATCATGAGGATAATCTTGATTTTCATGCCCATCCTGATGTCTGGAGAAGACAATAAAGTTTGTGTTTGCTATGGTCTGGAAATGCCAGCTAAGCCCAATATTTCAAACAGAGATTCCATAAATAAGTCACACTACAGTGCTAAAGAGAGAGGATGGTGATGGTGATGAACAGTTAGCCAAGGTCTACATCACTGAGTGCCACCTGACTCTGTATTTAAGGCCAGGGAAAATGAGCTAATTGGGTTTCCCATGGATTAGAGGACAAATGCTAATTAGGCACAATGGTACCTTGTAAGAGTAGGTTAAGAAAGCCTATGGGAAGGGAAGGAAATGTGGACTCCTGACTGGTAAGGGCAAAAGATTCCCACCATCCCCTTGGTTTGGGGGTGGTGGTGATGGTGGCGGAGTTCTGTCAAGAAAAAGGGAAGAATCATTCCTGTCTAATGATGTTGTGTTCTTTTCCATCAGTAATGTTTAAGGTGGAGCTCGGGGCAATATGGGAGATTAATGGCAACAAAAGATCATAAAAGGCCATAGATTTTGCCTGGTTCACTTAAATTCAACAAACATTTATTAAGTTCCTACTATGGTTTAGACAGTCAACTGGGTGCTAGAGATACAAAGATAAAAACAAAATAATCCCTGCCTTCCAGAAGCTTACCTGCTCAAAGGAGTAGGAGGAAGAGGAAATATAACAAATGTAAAAATTATATACAAAAAAAATTTCGGGAGGGAGAAAGTCCTAATAATTGGAAGGATCAGGAAATGTCTCATGTAAGAGGTTGCACGTGAGTTCTGCTGGGAAGGAAACTAAGGATCTTATGAGGTAGAGGCAAAGAGGAAGTGTATTCTAGAAAAGAGTGACCATTGGAACAAAGACATGGAAGCTGGAGAATGGAATGTCGTGTACAGTAAATCTTATAGTCTTTTTATGAAGGGGAGCAATGTAAAATAATACTGGGAAAAGTGTGCATTAGGCATATCAGTTTGGCAGTCTTATGGAGAATGGATTGGAGAGAGAAAAGACCAGAAGCAGGGAGAACTAATTAGGGGGCTGGTTCAGACAAGAATCACAGAATCATGTTAATTCAGACCTTAACAGCTATTGAATCTAACCCATGCCTGGCCAAGTATCCTGAGTATGACATTCATGGCAAATGCTCATCCAGACTCCTGAAGGCCTGCAGCAAGGGGCAGCCTACCACCTCCTAAGGTATCCCGTTCCACTTTTGGATGGCTGTAATTGTACATTTTTTTTTTAATGTCTAGCCTAAATTCACCTCCTTGCAACTTCCTGTTTTTCTTCTTACTTGTGTGCTGTGGGACCAAACAGAACAAGCTTAATGTCTTTCTGTATGAAAACCCATTGGGCAATTGAAGACAACTCAAAGGTCTCTGAATTTTTTCTTCTCTAGCCTTTCCCTCGACTGATCTTGATATGAGGGGAAAGTAAGGCCCTTTGCTCTTTTGGTTAGCCTAACATGACTTGTTCTTACTGGAACCAGGTTGACTTTTTGTCAACACTGCTTCTTTTCCTAAATGTTTACTAAGCATCCCTTTAATAATATGTTGTAGAATTTTTCAGGAACCGCATTCACACTCCCTGGTCTTCAGGCCAAAGGCCTCTTCTCCTTTTTTGAAGATCAGAACATTTGCCCTTCTCTAATCTAACCTCTCATTTGTTCTCAACAGTCCTTCCCGTTAGTGACCCAGCAGGCACGTCCAATGGTGTGTTCAGCATCTGAACTGGAATTATCCAGGCCAGAGGACTTGAATTCATGGAGGGCACGTCAGTGTTCTCTACTAGTACCTTATCTAGACTGGGTATCAACTTTTTGTTCTGTTCTTTCTAGTTTAAAAGTCATCCTTCTTGGATCAAACTTGAAGCAAAAGGAATATTGGGCAGCCTTCCCTTTTCTAAGATGCTGGTTATCATGGTCTCATTCATTTCTTATAACAGTCCTCCCTCTTATTTTAAGCCAGTGCCTAGCACAGAGTGAGTCAGGCAGTAAGCATTTTTTTTTGTCACTAAGTTCTCTTTATTTCAGTGCCTTATATTCAATAGAACCAATGACCTGGGGCTAGAACTTCTGAAATTCTTGAGAGTTGAAAATGAAAAGTTTATTGATTTCAGCTGTAGATTCAATGTTAGTGAAAATCTTTTTTTTAAAATATGAATTTATTTATTTGTAGTTTTCAACATTCATTTCCACAAGTTTTTGAGTTCCAAATTTTCACCCCGTCTCACCCTCCCTCCACCCCAAGATGGCATGCATTCTGAATATCCCTTCCCCTAGTCTGTCCTCTTTTCTTTCTCTCCCCCCTTCTCTTATCCCCTTCCCCTTCTATTTTCCGGTAGGGCAGGATAGACTTCTGTACCGCATTTCCTCTATTTCTTATTTCCCGATAGCATGTGAAAACTCTTTTTTTTAAACATATGTTTTTAAAACTTTAGGTTTCATATTTTCTCTCTTCCTCCCTCCCCACCCACCCTCATTGAAAAGGCAAGCAACTCAATATAGGTTGTACATGTGCAGTTATGCAAAACACTTCCATAGCAGATATGTTGTGAAAAACTAACTCTATTTCCCTTAATCCTATTCTGCCCTCCCATTTATTCTATTCTTTCTTTTGACCCTGTTCCTCCTCACCAGTATTTACTTCTGATTACACCCTTTTCCAATCTGCCCTCCTCTCTATCATCCCCCTGCTCTCTTGTCCCCCTTCTCCTCCTATTTTCTTGTAGGGTAAGACAAACTTCCATACCCAATTGAATGTGTATGTTATTCCTTCCTTAAGCCAAATCCTATGAGAATAAGATTTACTCATTCCCTCTCACCTTCCCCTGCTTCCCTTCCACTGTAAGAGACTTTTCTTTTCTGTTTTTTCTTTGTGAGATAATTTACCCCATTCTACCTCTCCCTTTCTTCTTCTCCGAGTATAATCCTCCCTCATCCCTTAATTTTATTCTCCAGATATGACCCCTTAATCTTCAACTCACCCTGTGCCATTTATCTATCTATCTATCTATCTATCTATCTATCTATCTATCTATCTGTCTGTCTGTCTATCTACATACATATAATTTTTTTCCTCCAACTACCCTAATACTGACAAAGGTCTCATGAGTCATAAATATCATCTTTCCATGCAGGAATGTAAACAGTTCAATCTTAATAAGTCTCTTATGATTTCTCTTTCCTGTTTACCTCTTCATGTTCTACTTGAGTCCTGTATTTGAAAGTCACATTTTCTATTCAGCTCTGGTCTTTTCATCAGGAATGCTTGA